ATATTTAGAAGCGCATGTGCTTATACGTGCCTTATTACGGTACATGCATACATGTATGACCATAGACATGTAGTTACACTGTCACTTACGTGGACGGGCGAGTGTCCAGGTCTGTGGTGACAGCATAGCGAGTGCCCGTTCCGGTGAAAACCAGCGAACTGCCAGAATACACGGTACCGCAGACGCTCGCTATGCGACCGCCGACGCTCTCCGCAAAGATCGAGCCCACTGTGCTCGAGAACGACTCGGTGAAGCTGGTCGAGAGCGCGGGCGCAATCTGGCATGACGCACCAGTGAAGCCGTTCCAGCAGCTGCAGCCTCCCGTCGACAAACACTGTCCATGACCGCTGCATGCGTTTGTGCATTGTCCTGGAGATGTGTGATTGGGAGTGCAGACATGTGGGAAGAATGCCACGGACATACACATGCGCGCACACAGGCACACACACACACACACACACACACACACACACACACACACACACACACACACACCAAAGACAAAAAGAGATCACTTCCTTTCCAACTACAACCAGCAATGGAGGTGAGCCAGAGGGCAACACGCAGTATTGGAGGTAAGGCAGAGGGGAACAAGCAGTTGAAAGGAGGCGGTGAAGAGGAGAACTTGTTGCGTTATTGAATTTAACACTCTTCCCATCACACGAATGCCTGGGGCTAAGGTTCAGCGGCATCCTTCTCTGTCTCTCTCTCTGTCTCTCTCTCTGTCTCTCTCTCTGTCTCTCTCTCTCTCTCTCTCTCTCTCTCTCTCTCTCTCTCTCTCTCTCTCTCTCTCTCTCTCTCTCTCTCTCTCTCTCTCTCTCTCTCTCTCTCTGTCTCTCTCTGTCTCTCTCTGTCTCTCTCTCTCTCTCTCTGTGTCTCTCTGTCTCTCTCTGTCTCTGTCTCTCTCTGTCTCTCTCTGTCTCTGTCTCTGTCTCTGTGTCTCCCCATCTCTCCATCTCCTCTCTGTCTCTCTGTCGCTCTGTCTGTCTCTTTGTCTGTCTGTCTGTCTGTCTGTCTGTCTGTCTGTCTGTCTGCCTGTGTGTGTGTGTGTGTGTCTGTCTGTCTGTCTGTCTGTCTGTCTGTCTGTCTGTCTGTCTGTCTGTCTGTCTCTGTCTCTCTCTCTGTCTCTCCTCTCTCTGTCTGTCTCTGTCTGTCTCTCTCTTTCTTTCCCCTGGAGTTCAAGAGAACTCAGACTGGTTCGTTGCAATGCGACCTTTTGGCAATGTGCCTGTGAGATGAGTACGCCGTTAAGTTGGCCGAAACAGAGCATCGGTGAAGTTGAATGTAAAGTTGCTACGTAAACGTGATCACTTACCAATAAAGAGATTATCGATGGCCCATCGTCCTGTGCGGCTCCACGTGAACGTCACCTGGCTTGTGCCAAAGCTTAGCTTGGTGAGGTCGATGGTCACCCACTGCCAGCCGCCCGTGTACATGTAGGTGGTGGGGAAGATGTACTGGTTGGGACACTTTGTCCTGTCGTTCCAGCACAGAGGCACCAGCGGAATGTGATTGGTGGTCGGCTTGTAGCCCTGCAGTGTCAGCAGGGACGTGGTGGCCGCGCCGCACTCCAGGTCGTACATGAACTGAAGCGTTGTGGGTACCGTGCTGCTGCCCGCTGCCAGGTCCAGCCGTATGGTGGTGAGAGTGGTGGTGCCACTGAATGTCCACACGCCGCTGCGGCTGCAGTACGTCGTGGCCGTCGAGCGACCGGTGACCCTCTGGAAGCTTGACGTCGAAGTCGAGGAGAAAGTCTCCGCCAGAGATGTCGGGTTCGGCTGCAGCATGCACGTACATGTACGCACATGCGTATAGACACAAACACGCACGCACGCACACATATATACACACACGGACGCAGATGCACACAAACACACATGCACACACACACACATACACATGCCCAAAACACACACACACACACACACACACACACACACATAACACACACACACACATAAGCCCACACAAAACACACACAAACATACACACTTTGATGAAAACAGGTAGTGATGGCGAGGCAATGACAACCATTAGGAGGGCTGGCGTCGGGTCTACAGTCTAAACAACAGCACGTACATTACTTGGGAAAACAACTGAACTCTGCGAAGAAGCTTTACAACCATGTGCTGAAAGAACTTTATTGAAAAATCAATGGTTGTCCGTTAAAAATGAATGAAAGAATGCAAAATTAGTGCATGCCATGCAAACTACAGGCCAATGTTCATCACGGTCATCACAGTCACTAGCAAAGAAGTTTAGTATGTAGTGCTGCACATTACGTAGATGTGTTGCAGTATCACATCGTTCCTCCCTGTGAAAGCCGGAACGAATCTGTTGTGAACCCTCGGATTCTCTGTTAAGTGTCAGGAACGAACGACCCGCAGCACGAGGACAACTCTTTCTTCTTAACGATATACTTGACTTCGATCGAAAATTAGTAACTAAAGCCTAAGACCGCCAACTATTTATAGCATGAAAAGACGGCGTATATCAAAGCATACACATATATAACATGAAACGACAGCGCATACAGGAAATCGCACATAGCGCATACAGGGTATACCATGCAGTAAACAACAGCGGTACGGCGGAGTCGAGATACAACATTGAAACGAATACAATGTCATAAGCGAGAAGGTCTTTTACACTTGAGAACTTGTGGTTTCGTAACCGAATCTGTACGGAGAGGAGGGGACATGGCAGGGAAGGGCTGGAAGCAAGAACTCGCATGTCCAATGACCAAACACTTGCTGATCTCTGATTGGCTGTGAAGTTCACATCCAGGATACGCTACAAAACTCCCCATTGTAGGAGTGCATGGTGGTCGGGGCTGGGATGGCATTTTCTGGAAGAATTTTCTGGCTCGCAGATTTCAGCAATATTTCTGTTTGTGATCGCGAGGGATTTCCCCTGACAAGATAATTATGTACAGACATGCATGTACATGATGCACTCCCCACATGTGATGATATGGTGATCGGGAGGGAATTCCCCTAACAAGATGCATGTACATGTGCATGCACATGATGTACTCACCACAGGTGATAATATAGTGATGGTGTCAATAGCCCAGTGGTCAAACGTCGGTCCCGAGTTTGCTGGCTGCCACCAGCGGAAACGCACCGCCGTCTTCTTCATCGCAGTCGTCAGGGCAACGGTGATTAATGTTCCGGTACTGGGCATGTGAAGGGAACACAGCACGCGCGCAAGTTTTCAAAACAGAGGGAAAGGAAAGGTATACGTCACGCCGGCCGAGTGGAGCGAGATGCTGCGGCCTACTACCCCTCAAGTTGTGTGTTCCTACCTCCGTCGTATGTGTCTAGTGGTATGCCGGTGAATGTGTCTAGTCACAAGTGGTATGCCGGTTGGTTGGTTGGATTTATTTAAAGTCGTACAACAAACAGGCATATCTGCCTCCTTACATGAAGGCGACTTCTGGCAGTAAAACATTTAAAAAAGGAAAAAGAGAAAAGAAAAACAAGAAAAGATAAGATCAAGAATGTATAGACTGACAGGGATCGATTTATCCGGGTTCGCATCGCAGTTTGCGAATCAAAATTCACTGGCTGCGATTCGCTTTTCGTTTGTTATCGCCCAAAACTGCGATGCACTACAAAGGCCAGTTGTGTGCAGTCTACATGCGACTGTTGTACACACTGCTGACTAGGGAGTAGTATTTTACCACTCCAACCAACTGGCCTGTCCTGCTCAGTCCGCGCGGGTCGCGGACTCGCGGATCGCGCTCTTTCGATTTTGGACACTGCACTAGCACTGGTCGTACATGACTGCAGTCTTCTGAAGTTTTGTACACGGCGGTGACTTTTCCTGATGTTCTCCTTTCTTCTTTCACTGTCAAGCTCAGTTTGTTTCTGTTCGACAAGGCACAGTTGAAGTCGATGGTTCTTAGTCTCATGTAGCCAACATGTCAGTGAGTCTGATCAGTGATTCACTGTCCAGAAGAGGGACAAAGAACTGGCCGCGCCAGGAATGTCGATTCGTTTGGATGAAGAAAAGGAGAAAAGCGAAATTCGATGCGCTTTGCACGAAATGTCACGATCGTTTGAGCGCTTTCCTGAGGTTTCATTGTCGAAGGAATCAGTGGAACTGCCCTGTTGAAAGACATTGTGTTGTGAAGAACTCGAAGACGGATGGACGCTGAACATGTAACGTGCCCAAGCGAAAACTCTAACGTAAATATTCAGGTCGAACATTCGCTTGGAAAAGCAAATAGCAACTGCAGCTATTGTCCTCTTCTGTACGAAATCCTGCTATTGTACAAGCTATACATGTAAACTTTTGATGAAGGAAAACTGCTAATCAATACTGGGAGTTGCTAGTCAATTGTAAAACTGTTTAGCAGTGACTGCTATGCAAAAAAATCAAAGTAAATCGATCCCTGGACTGAGCATACAGCTAGCCGGAGACTGAGCATACAGCTAGCCGGAGACTGAGCATACAGCTAGCCGGAGACTGAGCATACAGCTAGCCGGAGACTGAGCATACAGCTAGCCGGAGACTGAGCATACAGCTAGCCGGAGACTGAGCATACAGCTAGCCGGAGACTGAGCATACAGCTAGCCGGAGACTGAGCATACAGCTAGCCGGAGACTGAGCATACAGCTAGCCGGAGACTGAGCATACAGCTAGCCGGAGACTGAGCATACAGCTAGCTGCATGTGTCTAGTGGTATGCCGGTGTACTTGAGCGAGAACTGGCCGAGGTATAGTGCGCCAGAGTTGAGAACCAAACAGGGGCTCATTGACGGTAGCAGAAATTTGCGTGATGGCACTGTTGCTACGGCGATACAGCCATTTGACAAATATCTCTGAGAATCTCTCTCTGACTCTCTTACATTGCTCCTCTTCCTCTCTTTTCTCTAACGATTTTCCGCACGCCTGCTCAGCTCTGATTCAGTTGGCTGCAATGTTTTGGAGGTACGGTGCACTTCAAAGTGTGTGAACCCTGAACACAGCCGGCTAACCAATCCCTACACAGCC